GAAGTAGCACTTAGACTTCACAGTGCTTCACAGTCCTCTCTAAGTGGTTTTACAGAATCAGCATATTGCCCTCAACAACTAATGGAAGTTGTCTAGTTTGTGTCATCTCCTCTACTGGAATTTCACATATATGTTGGTTTAATGCTTTGTTGAAGTCAGGGTAAACCATGTCCATCACATTCCCTTGCTCCGTAAAACTAATCTCGTTCAATAATCTTGAAAGTTACTGATCTACTCTTGGAGACTTAAATGAATTCATGGTATCCAGGTGCTTTCTACCTATGTTTTTACTTCGCCATTTTTATTTAGTTCTGTTTAGTTCCATTTGAATGTAATTTCTTTTTCAGGAGAAAACTGAAATAGAAGTTGAGTAACTCTGCCTTCCTCCCATCATCTTTTTCCATTTTACTATTTTCTTCATGTAAAGGGTCAGTGCCTTCCCTTTTCTTCCTTCAAGCCTATTTGAGAGCACTCTTTGCAAATCTATAACAGCTTCCTAAATCTGCCCTTCCTTTTTCCTTTTCATTGGAATGATATGTAGTTGTACTTCTAAGATATTGGTTTTTTGAAGGTTCCTAATCTCCCTTTGCACCCTTTTGCCTATGGATTTCTGTTCAGGGCAATTCTAAGCTTATTGAAAATTTGGAATTTAGTATGCATGTACCCTCAAATGATTATATCACTTTCTCACGGTGCTGTTAGCTCTTCACTTATTGATTTAGGACCAAATATCGGGTTAGAAGGAAGTCTGCACATGAAATATGAGAGCCGAGGTGGCGCAGTGGTTAGGGTGCTGTACTGCAGGCCACTTCAGCTGACTGTTATCTGCAGTTCAGCAGTTCTAATCTCATTGGCTCAAGTTTGACTCAGCCTTCCATCCTTCCGAGGTGGGTGAAATGAGGACCCAGACTGTGGGGGTGATATGCTGACTCTGTAAACCGCTTAGAGAGGGCTGAAAGCCCTATGAAGCGGTATATAAGCCTAACTGCTATTGCTATTGCTAAATATGCTGAAGCGAAGCATCTATTTTAGCCTATTTGCTGCCTTGGCTGTTAATCTGTTTAGTAGACACATATTGTTAGTTCCTCAAACTTAAACTTTTGTCTCATCTTCAGCTTCTGGAAAGTGAAGCAGACAGCAAGACCATAAAAGGAATTTTGCTGTATATTAGGGAAAAGCCTCCTAAATGTAGGAGCAGTTCTCCTGTAGAACCACTATGAGAGAAGGCCATTCAGCCTATTATATAAAAAACAATGTCACCTAATCTATACTTTTTCCTATTTTATTAATGTTAATAGCCTGAGAGATTTTTCAAATGCTTCAATAAGGTCAAGGTATCTGATAGCTATGGCTTTCTGATCTACTAAGCTAACGGGATTAGTCTGGCATGATTTGTTTAGACCTGGGGCATGTGGGAGACGGCGTCAGCTAGAAAGTTCCTCCCCCTCTTGGGATGTGCTTTAGCAGGAAGTCGAAACGGTTGAAGTATTGAGTCCAGCGGACTTGTTTAGGTGATAGTTTTTGCCGGATCCTGAGGGCTTCCAGATTTTCGTGGTCAGTCTAGACTTCGAACGGTCTCTGGTGCCCTTCCAGCAGGTGGCGTCAGGTTAGAAGTGCCCATCTCACTGCAAAAACCTCTTTTTCCCTTGTGGCCCATCGTCTCTCTGTGACCGTGAGCTTGCGAGAGGTGTAGCCGTTGGGCTGTAGGTTTCCTTGGCTGTTCCTTTGGAGTAGCATTGCTCCCACTGCCGCGTCACTGGCGTCTGCTTGGATAACAAAGGTTGTTCGGGGTCAAGATGCTTCAGCACCGGTTCCTTTGCAAACATTTCTCTTAGTGTTTCAAATGCCTTTTGGCAGGTTAGGTCCCCCTGTAGAGGTTCTCCCAGGCGGGGTTTTGCCCCTAAGGTCTTTAAGAGGTCAGTCACTCCTCTCAGAGTGTGTCATTGTCCAATGAGGCACTTTCGTGGGCTGTAAAAACCACGCTTTTCAGGCCGGCTCCGGCAATTTGAGATCCGACCTTGAGGAAGGTATGCATGGAATGTGCTGCTGAATGTGGCTGCTGAACTGCTTCATCATCAGTTCTTCCCCCTTCCTGCCCATGGCAACTCGAGAACAGGCCACGATTGCTTTGCAAGTTGACAAGAACAACCTCATGATGGTACATTTTAACTTTTGCATTCATTGACCAGATACTCAAGATTTTTTTGAACCTGGAGAGATTGAAGAAGTGTATAGAATCCTATGTAGAATGAATTCTGCCGTCTAAAGACTTATCCTAACTTCTTTTAGTGGTCATGGGGCACAGTTGATTGAATCTGAAGGTGATCCTTAACTGAAGGTGAAATGGCTGCTGCAATAAAAATAAAGATCCTTCCTATCTTAAAGAAACCATCTCTTGATCTGGCCACAGTGGATAACTTCTACCCATTCTTCAGCAAATAGCATTCTAGGGAAGGTTATTGGTGGGAAATCAGCTACAGAGGACCTTAAAAAAAGATATTATATCGGGATTGTTTTCAAGATTACGACTTGGTTGTGGATTGGAAATGGTATTTATGACTCTAATAGATTAACTTTGAGACTTGTGTAGAGCAAATAATGTCTTTCTTAGTCCTTTTAGCACCATTTGATACCATTGTAACATCATTGTGGATTGCTTATGAGAATTTGGAATTAGAGACTATTTAATTATTCACTCCTGCCTTCATGTGTGGCTCCAGTCAGTAGTTGTAGAACAATAAACTAGTGTCTGGTAATTATCAGGGATTGGATTGGGACAAACAAATCAATTTAAACCAAAGCAAGACGGAACTGCTGTTTGTTGATAAACATTTTGTTTCATTGAAACATCTAATTCAGTTTTGAATCTGGACAATATTGTGGAGAGGCTATGAAATTTGGTGATCCTATTTTATTAAATCTAATAAAAAGAATTATTCAGATGACGCTCTTGGTTTATTATTTGTATTCTCTTTTGATTTTAAGATATCAACCAGTTTGTTTTGCATGTTCAATGCAACATCCTTTTCCATATTATTCTGACAATCTCATTTGAAGTTCCATTTTCGATACAATCTCTATCTTGTTAAATAAAATATTTTCCTCATCTGTCATTTCTTCTAAACATCTTTTGGACGCAGTCTATCCATGGAAGCAAACATCGCTACTGTCATATTTATACTAACTTCTGATTCCATTTTTCAAGTAGCCTTCAACATTTAAAATATTAAAGTTTTCTGTATTATTTTATACATCCAGTTAGTGGCTAATCAGTCTTGTGTATTTTTCACTTGTAAAATATTTAGTTCTCTCTACTGTCCAATTTTTAAAATTACTTATCTTTATTTTGTCTTGTCACGTCTGCCACTGTTCAAATCCTAAGAAAGAAAACCCCCGACTCCATTGGTTTAGAAAGGAGGTACTTTTACAAAGAATAAACTCAGAGCAGTGAAGCAAGGCAAGATCTAGAACCGTGATGGCGACACTGCCACCATCATAAATACCACTTGCCAGTTGCCAAGTGTCTGAATTTTGATCATGTGATCATGGGGATGCTACAACGGTTGTCAATGTGAAAAATGGTCATAAGTCACATTTTTAGTGCCATTGTAACTTCGAATGTTCACTAAATGAATGGTTGTAAGTCAAAGACTTCAGACAGACAGATAAATATGGTAAACATATCAGGGACTCAGTTACTGTTAAAAGCACTTCAAAGTAATACAGGTAGTTCTTGACTTACAACAGTTTGTTTAGTGACTATTTGGAATTACAACGGCACTGAAAAATGTAACATGACAATTTTTCATCGTTACGACCTTTGCAATACCCCCATGATCACGTGATCAAAATTAAAATGCTTGGCAACTTGTTCATATTTATTATCATTGCTGTGTCCCAAAGTCATTGCCTTTTCCGACCTTCTGACAAGCAAAGTCAATAGGGAAGGCAGATTCACTTAACAACCAGGTTAACTGCAGTGATTGACTTAACAATTTAACAACTGTGGTGAGAAAAGTTGTAAAATGGGGCAAAACACACTTATCAAATGTCTCACATAACAACAGAAATTTTGGGCTCAATTGTGGTCGTAAGTGAAGGACTACCTGTAATGTGAAATAGCAGTCTAAAGATTTGCCTTACAGTTTGATTTCACAAGCCTGGTAATAATACTATAATTATTAGTGCTTCAGACAGGAAGGTGGTGCAGAGAGTGGTGAGGATGGAAGAAAAGATATTCCTGGCAGTTCACTCCCTTCTTCCCAGGACAGAACATATCAGCGTGGCTTGATCAGGGTTTGCAGTATTGTCTGGGACATCCTCTTTATCACCTGTTTTCCTTCTGGGAGGAGGCTCCGTGAGAGCAGAAGAAGGACATGTAGTCAGCCGCGGTTTTGTTCCATACTTGTGAACTCTCAAGCTTGCTCTTTCTGCTATGTATTCAAGATGGACAGTAATTAACATTTATATGTATTTATATGTTAGGGTAAGTATATACATATGTATGTATATATGTCTGTTATGTATATGTACAATTTTGAAAGCAAGCAACAGAATTTCATTTTTAATGTGTGCCAGAATCCCACAGAAAAAAAAATGACAATAAAGCTTACCTTATCTGAGCTTCCATTCTGTTTCTATAGTTAGGGAAACAGTAACATTGTACAACTTCCTGAATTTAAAAAAGTACTTTACAAAAGGGAAAAACTGTTAATAAATAAAAGTAGTTTCCCTTGTTTCCCTACTTTATTTCTTCGAAATACTCTGTTATCTTTCTTATGAACACACACCAGCATTATTCTAAGATCTTGCAAAATGTTGTCATTAACGAGCCATCAATCTATGTACACTAAGATTTGGGGAATGGAATGCTTTCTGGAAAGATGCACTGTAGCATATAGCTGATGACATACATTTAAAAATAATTTCTTAGTAAAATTTCTTGTTCATAGTATCTGTTTTAAGCTATCATAGTAATATATTGTCAATATATTTTGCAGAGATTTCCTGCCCCGTGGGTCTGGAATTGTTACCCGAAGACCTCTCATTCTTCAGCTTATCTTTTCTAAAACAGGTGTGTGGTCTCTTCATTTATGCTTAAAAAGTAATTAAATTCTTTTGTGAACAATGTTATATCCATGAATAGTTTATTCTTGGACTTAGACTACTTTACATATTCAATCATGCCTTAAAAATTAGTAAGCATGATGAAATATTTGTATGGTTAAATAGTGATAATACCTCATAATTCTTATGGGGACACTCAAAAATTTCCCTTAGATTTGTATTTGAGCTTCACATGAGATATCTCTTCTCTTTCAGAATATGCAGAATTTTTGCACTGCAAATCTAAGAAGTTTACAGACTTTGATGAAGTCCGAACGGAGATTGAAGCTGAAACTGATAGGGTGACAGGAACAAACAAAGGCATTTCTCCCATTCCTATTAACCTGAGAGTATATTCACCACATGGCAAGTGTTGTGGGTTTTTGTAAACGTTGAATATTATATCTTCTCAATATCTAGGAAAGAAAATGGATATTTGGAAAATCTGTGCATTCCTATCTTTTCTGGAAAATAGATACAGGTAGTCCTAGATTTACAGCCTGGAGTTTTGTTTCTAAGTTGTTGCAATCCTAACTTGTCTCCACGTGACCAGACTCAAATTTATGACCATTTTTATGATGACTGTCAAGAAAATAATTATGGTTGTTAAGCAAATCATATAGTTGTTAATTGAATCACATCATAAGTTAAACCCAGCTTATCCATTGGGTATTTTTTGCCTTTTTTTAAAAGGCAAAAAATGTTGCTGCAGGATGCTGCAACCAGTTGTAAATGTAAGCCAGTTGCCAAGTGCCTGAAATCTGATCACGTGACCATTGAAGCTGGTGCAACAGTCATAATTTCGAGGAGAGGTCTTAAGTAACTTTTTTGTATCATCATGAAGGCCATCATAATTTTGAACAGTCATTAAGCAACTGGTTGTAAGCCGAGGGCAGTAGAAACAATTGTCCTATTTATTGAAGAGATGATATTAAAAGAATGAAGATAGCTCCACTGCAACAAAGCCAAGAGATAAACCAGACCCCAAACGTTGAAAATATCTTTCAATTTCATTATCAATCTCTCAAAATGGAATTATTTTGTAATTTTTTGGAAATAATGTCATAACCTATGAGTATAATAATTAAAAGCTGGGAGTATTTTTATAAAGATTAATTTATTTTTATTTTTTAATCTCCCTCTCTTTCGTTTAAATGAGCTTGCTCTTGGCATTAATAGACACCCCACCCCACCCCACCCTTCTATTTGGAAAGGTTTGGGGGAAGCCTCTAAGGTCCAGAGTTGAATTAGGACAAAACAGCATCTTCCAGGCGAAGTTCTTAGTCTTTGCTGATTTCCTTTTCAGTGCTGAATCTAACCCTGATCGATCTTCCGGGTATCACTAAAGTGCCAGTGGGTGACCAACCTCAGGATATAGAATACCAAATCAAAGATATGATTTTACAGTTTATTAACAGAGAGAGCAGCTTGATTCTTGCTGTGACTCCAGCCAATATGGATTTGGCCAACTCTGACGCGCTCAAACTGGCTAAAGAAGTTGACCCACAAGGTAAATGATATTTTTATATTTACTTGGATGTAGTGGATATATGCATCACAAACATGACAAAATAGCCAATTATGATGATTTTTCCAGGCAGAATGCACCAAAATACAGTTGCTGTTCTATAGTTGCAATAGTTATTGATAAGATCTTATTATTATTTATTTAAAGTTATTGGCTCTGGCCAACTGTGGGCAGGAAACAAAAAGTAGATAAAATATAAAAAGAGGTACAAATATTAAATCAAACAGAGTTCAACGAAATCAACAAAACAAAATAGGGGCCACTGAACAAATAGTAAGCATTAATCCCAGACCTGGGCCAAAGCCAGGTTTTCAAACTTTAGGAGAGGGGACGCCGTCTTTGTGGGAGTTGCTGTTCTAGAGGATGAGGGCCACAAAATAGAATGCACACTTCCTATGCTCCACAATATGGCAATGTTTAATTCAGGGGATTTGGAACAAACAGACAGGCAGAAACAGTTGGAGAAGCTCTCAAATATGGCCTTATGCCAGTGATGGTGAACCTTTTAGACATCGAGAGCCCAAACTGCATGCACGCCAGGGATGATATTCAGCAGGTTCTGATCGGTTCTGGAGAACCAGTAGCAGAAATTTTGAGTGGTTCAGAGAACCGGTATAAATGCCACTTCTGACTGGCCCCGCCCCCATCTATTCTCTGCCTCCCAAGTCCCAGCTGATTGGTGGGGATTTTGCAGTAACCTTCCCCTGGAGTGGGCAGGGAATATGCCATACAGAGCTTTATAGGTAATAACCAACACTTTGAATTGCACTTGAAGCTATTTGGAAGCTAATGCAGCTGGCCTAGGATTGCTGACACAGGAGTATGCCTTTACTGATTGGAAGAGGAGCAGAGAAAAAGTGAAACAACTCATAAAATTAAAGTATCCTTTACCTCACAATGCGAATAAGAACAAAATTCAAGCTCGCTTTTACCCGCCTGCTGCTGGTGTTGCTGCGCAATCCTGTGAGTCAGGCAGCTGTGCAGCACGTCCGGATCGCCTGTCCCCCCCCCCCCTTTTGCCTCTGTGCTCAGAATTAATGTATTTGCACTGCGCCAAGGAAGCCAAGGCATGCTGAGAGCTTGGGCTGTTGCAGCTGCGGGCAAGCAGACAGCAGGATGGAGAAGGTGGGGCCAGTGGTAGCTGTGCTCCCACTCCTGTCGGTCCCTGTGTTTGCCGCCCCCTGCACTTAAAAAATATGAGACCTCTGCAAAAATAAGCCCAAGTACTTATTTTCAAGGCCAAAAGAAAATAAGACCAGGTCTTATTTTTGGGGAAAACATGCTATTGTTTAGAGTAGTAACTTTTTAAATTCTATGCTGCCTACCAAGCTATTAAAAGATTCCAGAAGGTCTATAAAATTAATGGGACAGGAGGCAGAAATGCAAAACCTAAGCAGGCCAGCTCAACTACGTATGTTGTTGTAATATATTTCAGCTAGTTTTATATTACTTGTTATGGTTCATCACAGTCAGCCAGATGTTCATATTGGATTTGGCATTTTTATCCACCTATCACGGTGATGGCAAACCTTTTAGAGACCGAGTGTCCAAACTGCAACCCAAAACCCATTTATTTATCACGAAGTGCCAACATGACAATTTAACTTGAATTGTTTTAGTTTAGGAAAAACAACTCATACATGATTAACGTTTCAATGAATCAAACAACTTTTTGTTGAAAGGTAAAAGTTTGCATTTGGCATTAATGTGACTTTTGCTGTTGTATGCACACTGAAAATTTTTCTAACCTTGGCTCACACTTTGTAGGTTTGAGAGCAACACATGCAGCACTCAGGTTATCTGTTAGTCTAGGGATGCCAAACTCCATTACAATGAGGGCTGCATCAGGATTGTGGTTGACTTTGGAGGCTGGGGTAGTGTGGCCGGGGTGGGTGTGGCCAGCTCCCACTGCTGCTGTGCTCGCTCTCCTTGGCCAGGTTGCTTATGGTGTGTGCAGGAGGGCAAAGTATGTGGGTCAGAGGGAGGCCCACTCCCTCTCCTTATGTAACCAATGCATCCTCAGTGATACGATGGGAGACCAACAGGAGAGGTCAGGAAGAGTTGGAGTTTGG